TGCTCGGTGCGGTTGGCAGCAGTGCGACACTGCCATGGCCCGGACAGGCCGACTGGGACCACGAACAGCTCTCAGTCGACGTGGCGTGTGCGTCTCATGCGGAGCCCGTTCAGTCCGGGTCGCACAGCCGGCCCTACACCGAGCGCCACACACCATCACTCTCCCCTGCCGATCGTATCATGCACACAACAGTGCGCACCCATTCCGCCCGCCGGTGGACATTTGCACTGTTGGCTTTGGGCTGTGGCGCCGGCCGTGCGGCCGTAACGGCGTCCGGAGGACAATGCCGCCGGCTAACGAGCTCCAGGACCGACGGGGACCCGGCCGCGGCGCCGTCCGCAAATGACTCGCGGCCTGACGCTATTGACGGCGAATTGACGGCGATAACAGGGCGCTGAGGCGCCGGCTGGCTGACCAGTGGGCCGCCCGCCGGCACTTAGCGGTGTGGCGGGGCGCGTTAGCGCTACGGCCATCAATCGGCGTTGACACGGCGGCGTTGTTGACAGTGCTGTGAGGCGCACAGTGGCGCGGCCGCCGGCGCCGGTAGCGAATGACCGGCAGACAAACCCTGTTGTTATAGGAGAAACACACAATGGATGGCGATCATTGGCATGGTCGACCGCCGCTGTCGGGACCTCTGCGACTGGGGCCGACTGGGGCAAGCCGGGGCCGACCGAACGGCGCGGGGCCCGGTGCGGCTCGTCCGGGTCCCGGTTCCGAACGACACCGGCTCAGGCTAGATCAGCCCTCTGGCGTCGATCCTGCGCCCTCGAGGCGGGCTTGGAGGACCGGGGACAGGCAGGTCAGGTGCAATTCGATCCTCTTGTCCTCTATCCTGTTTCATCCTGCATCCTTGTGACTCCCCGTTGGTTAGAGACAGGCTGCATGCGTCAGCCACGATTGGGTCGAGAGCCCCGTGGGAAGGAGGACCCGACCGGGCACCCGGGTTAATATTGCGCGGGTTAAAGCTCGGTGGTTGCACCCAGGTGCATGCAACTCTGCCTGACCGTTAACCATTTCCTTCATCCCACAGCCCTAAAATGATCATTTCTGGTTGAAAGGGCTCTGATCCAAAAAGCAAACGAGGAAAGGGGTTGGGACGGCCTGGGGATGCCCCGATGGCCGGGGATGGCCAGCGCGGACGTCAGGGTCTGTATCCCGGTGCGGGTGACGCGGCCGATCCCGTCGGCGTACTGCTGTTATCCGTACGGCGTGACGCCGCGCGGCGTCCGGGCCGGCCGGCTGAGCGGCGGCAGTGTGCCGCCCGCCGCGCCGCCGTCAGCAGGGCGACCGTGACCACCGCAGCGGCGCCTGCAGTGCTCCGTGGTGGTGAGGCTGTCGGGCTGGGAGCGGGGTCGCCGCCGGGTCAGTGGTCGGCAGGCGAGGCGGGCCGGGTGTCGGAGCTTCCGGCTCCTCCCTCCCCCGGGCTCCGCGGGGGTGCTCGCACCGGCTTAGCCGTTCGTCGCTCGCTGCCGACTCCGAGTTTGAGGGAGTTGGTGGCTGTGGAGGCTACTTGGTCCCGGTGGGGACCGCCGATACCGGTGAGTGCGCCCTTGGCTCGACAAAGCTTTTTAACGTCGAGATGCTTCTTCAGTGTTATTTGAAAGGAATCGTTTGAAGCACACCTATCATACTTTGATATCGCCCATGATCTAGGCCTACGTGATGACCTAACTGAGTGCGAGCCTCTGCGGCTGTCGGGAAGTGCGCGGTCAGGACGTGTTCAGTTCAGCGAGCGACCTGCTTGGTTCCAGCCGGGTTCCAAGAGACGCGCCGCTGGTGGGGGGCAGCCGTGCGTGCGGCGCTCTGGTGCCGACGCCGCACGCCACCGGATCCGGCGCGACCGCAGGGTGCGGTAAAGCTGGGCGGCTGCGGGTGATGCGGGCCAGCGCACCGGTGCTGGTGCTGGTGCTGGTAATGGTGGTTGTGGGAAGTGCACTCGTCTTCTCGGGAGGTGCGCCTGTCCAGATTGGCTGGCGGGCTGGCGAGCTGGCGTCTGTCCAGACTGGCTGGCTGGTTGGTGGCTGTCCTGGCTGGGTGGAGAGCTGACGTCCGTCCAGTCTGGCTGATGGCCTGGCGGGCTGGCGTCCGTCCAGACTGTCGGTCTGGTCAATGTCCAGATTGTCTGAGCTGGTAGATGTCCAGATTGCTGATTTGACACCTGTTTAGGCTGTCGGTCTGGCACCTGTCCAGACTGCCTGGTCGGCACCTGTTCAGAATGTTAGTTTGGCACCTGCTTAGACTCTCAGGCCGGCACCTGTCTGTCGGTCTGGCATCTGTTCAGACTGTCGGGTGGGCGCCTGTTCAGACTGTCAGGTGGGCATCTGTTCAGAATGTCGGTTGGCACCTTTTTTGCACGTGTTCAGATTGTCGGTCCGGCACCTGTGCCGACTGTCGGGCCGGCAGCTGTTGGAGATGACACCTGGCCGGACAATTGGACTAGATACGTGCAAAATATTAAGCCTGGCACCTGTTCAGAATGATTAAGCCCAGCACCTGTCCGGTGACCATACGCGCTGATATATTGGCTGTCTTATGGCTGTCCGGTGATATTGTCTGTACCCAGAAGCTGATGCCGAACTCCAGCTGCGCATGGCCTATTGTCGACTTATTTATTCAGCGATCACCGGCAGAGCGATATATGAATGATGATGACCCCGCAACAGGCGAAGTCGCCTGGCCAAACGCAATGCATCGAAGTCAGGAATCTGACGTAAATCAAAACAAACTCGAGACCCATCGTCACTGGTGACTGGCGAGTACCCAGAGATGAAAAGGCGCCCTCCCCGTCCCCACCCAGGGCGAGGGCGAGACCTGCGCGCTTCTCCCCCACCCCAGAACGCCCGAACACAGTCTCTGGATGCATGTAGCAACCTCCACGGAGCTCTTCGCACCGCTGGATTTGAACGAAAGTGCGGCGTGATGCTTGTGAAATGCTAACAATTCTTCGCAAAGAGCGTTTAGCTTCCTTCCAAAAATGACGTATGTCTCTGAACGTTTCAGATTTGTTTCCGGTGATCTTCTACGAAGCCAGCCAACTCCAGAGGAGTTCATCATGGGTCGCAAGAAATTCAAATATCTCGTATCACCGACGAGCGCAACAGACAGGTCAGTGTATCAGCCGTCGTCCTTTCCATAGCCCGAGTAGATTGCCAAGTGAAGACGGCCATAATTCAGTCACCGATAGTTGTTATTTCATCGTGTCAAACCGCTGGCCGATGACTCCGGGCGCCTAAACCGCCGCCGCACGTGACGTCGTCGGCTCGTCCGGCTGAGTCACGCCCGGCTGACCTATGGCAGACGAGATGCGGCGCAGTGGTGCCGCCGGGTCGGAGGCGTGACCTATGACGTCACGGCCGGCCTGTGGTGGGGCTGGCGCCGGGCTCCGGGCCGGCGCCTCTCCCAGACGCGGTGCTGGGAGTGGACTGGTCCCGAGGGGAGGGATTACCCCCAGTCGGTGGAAACCAGATACTGTTACCTGAAGACGGCGACGCAGCATGTCGCGAGCTGGCCGTCCGCGGCTCCCGCTGCACGTGTGGTGGCCGGTGGTGGTCACCGCCGCACGTGAGTTGACCGCCGGCGGTCGCCGCCGCACGTGAGGCGATGGGTGGTGCTACCGCTGCACATGAGGTGACCGGAGGTGGTCACCGCCGCACGTGAGGTTACCATCAACGTCTTCCACCGCACGTGAGGCGACGGTTGGCGGCCACCGCTGCACGTGAGGCGACGGGTGGCAGTCACCGTCGCACTTGAGGTGACCGCTGGTGATCACCGCCGCACGTGAGGTGACCGGTGGTGGTCGCCGCCGCACGGGAGGTGACCGGTGGCGGTCTCCGCCGCACGTGAGGTGACCGGTGGTGACCACCGCCGCACATGAGGTGATCTCCGGTGGTCACCACCGCGTGTGTGAGGTGACCGGTGGTGGTTACGGCCGCACGTGAGGTGACCGGTGGCGGTCACCGCTGAACGTAAGGTGACCCGTGGCGGTCACCGCCACACTGCGGTGGCCGCCGGTGGTCACCGCCGCACGTGACGTGACTGGCGGCGGTCACCGCTGCACGTGAGGTGCCCGTTGGTGGTCACCGACGCTTAGAATCGTGCCCGTTAGTCGGATGGGGCTAACTAACCCCAGCACAGACGTGCTGGCCGGCTGGGTGACTGCGACGGAGTTGCGGTCGGGCGCCGCGCCGCGCCCCCCCCCCCCCTGACGGTGGGGGTCGGGAGGTCGGCTGTCGGGCTGCCCCCCCCCCCCCACCGTTAGGGTCGGGAGGTCGGCTGCCAAGCCGCCTCCCGTCCCCCCCCCCCCCCCCACCCTCCTCCCCCCTCCCCCCGACGGTTTGGGTCAGGTCGGCTGCCGGGCCATGTTGTGAAGCCGCACACGAAGGCTGTTTTACCGTGCGCATGATTTGTTTTATGTTAGACAAATAAAGTGAATACACCTATTGCACTGGATGTACGTACCTATTGCACGTACTTACTGCACATACTTAATGCATTGCGCGTTCGGGTGGACAGAAAGTACAAACAGTAAGGTGTGAAATGCTGGGAAAATGGCCCTCAAGTGCCACTAAGGTAGAAACAATTTGTGTGAATTTGCAGACCATGAAATACGGCCGCCAATGCAAGGCTACCCCGCCCATGTACTCACGCTTTTGGAAATGTTTGTTCAGACATAATGTAGATTTCCAAGGTTTTCAGGAGGGTATGTCTCAAAGAGGGTATCTCTTCTGTATTCTTGCGCGAAGACACTCCAAACATTTTCCGATACGCAGGTGCCGCAGTGTTGCCGGAGCTGATGTTACCCCGCATTCTGGCGACGTGTAAAATGTTCTGGTAGGTATTTGGACACAGGGGCGGGGGGGGGGGTGTGTAGCGGGCCGCAGTGAGGGGAGCCCAGTCGGCAGGGTTCAGCGCGGCACCGGGCCGTGGCAGTGGGCAGAAGTCGCGTCCCCGTCAGCTGGTGTACGGGGCCGTGTTGTGCGGCTTCCCCTGCAGACGGCCGCGGCAGTGGGCCTGCCGCTGGTGCGCTTCAGCGGGCTGCAGTGTCCAAACGGAAACGACGGCATGCGCTGAAGGTCACCATGATATATCAGATGGACGTGGTTTTCCGCGCGAAAAAGTGACTCGCCGGGACTAGGGCACGCCAGGAAAATTGCACGGGCTGAACTGCTATGTGCGTTAGTTTAAACCGTGTAACGGCGAGCAACCCCCGGGGACCGTATACGCCAGGAGTAGTAATCTCGACTATTTAGACGGTTTGTATCAAGATTATTGAAGGCTCATGTGTACGGAGTTTGTTCCTTGACGTGGTTTTGCGATGACCTTTGCATGGCAAACATCTTATATCTAGTATCACCGTGATTTACTAGCAAGCTGCATGCATGATAGGAAACAAGCTCATGTGCGGTTTGTTGCAGAACAGGATCATTATCATTGCGGTGCGGGCTATGGCGGGACGAAACCGTTGGATCCGGCCTGATGGGATTAATTTTGATTAGGCTGCTTCATTATACACTAATGTGCATTCTTCCCTTGCACAGCATTACAAAAAGGAGCGAGCATACTGCGCTCAGCGTGTCGACATCTGTCGTCTGCTGTCAGCTTGGTCGCGTGCGACGGCATCAGATTTAGAGCAAGTCGGTATCTGCGATCACATGCTCAAACAGCTTTCGTCGTTCTTTATCAAGTGTGTTCCAAAAAAAAACGGCAGGCAGCACAGGCACACACGTAACCACGCCACCATCACCTGTCGCCACCGCTGTCGACTGGCGGGGGTCCTCCAGCGCCGCAGCACGCGCGCCCTGACCCCGGTGCAGGTCACGCTTTGTCAGCAGGGGGTACATGAGGGTGTCGGCCGGCGGCTCGGCGTCCCCGCCGACTGTGAGCACGCCATGGGCGGCAGGTTGATGAAGCGCCGGCGCTCACACGAAAGCCAAGTTAACGAAGTCGGCTTTCGCTGGTCTGCGGACGTAAGAAAATAACCGTGTCGACTTATTTTTGATAAGGAAAATCTGGAAGGCACGCTCGGAGTGGCATCCTGTGAGCGGATTCAGTACCTGTTGTCTGGAGTGAGAGCATCTCCCGGAAGGTGGCGATGCGGTCGGCCAGTCCGCGCGGCCCGGATCGTGACTCCTCATCCACCGGCCACTGCCCCAGCGCCGTCCCACGCCAGCATGCTCAGACGGGGGGGGGGGGGCGACACCCGACCCTGGTTCAGGTAGCCGGCCATGCGAACGGCCCCGGGCGCTGTACGCTCCCGGACGGCGGTTGCCTGGCGGCGCGGCGGGCCGATGTGGCCGGCGACGGCCCGCCTCGTCCGGCGCTGGCACCTGCCTGGCGGCGTCAGTGGCGGGGCTGCGGGACCCGCGCCGCATCTGCCGCCGCCGGCAGCCGGCTCTCGCCCCGCGCTGGACGCCGCCGACTTTACCGGGCGCCCTCGGCCGCGATCGTCCCTGTATAACCCGGCCTGCGATTTCAGGTAACGTTTAACAAGCGCAAGTTCGGCGTGATGAAGAAGGCGTACGAGCTGAGCGTGCTGTGCGACTGCGAGATCGCGCTCATCATCTTTAGCTCGTCCAATAAGCTGTATCAGTACGCCAGCACCGACATGGATAAGGTTCTGCTCAAGTACACAGAGTACAACGAGCCGCACGAATCGCTGACCAACCGAAACGTGATCGAGGTGAGCGTCCGCGCCTTGACAGCTGCGACCTCGTTGGCAGGTGACCTTCACTAAGCGCAAGTTCGGCCTGATGAAGAAAGCGTACGAGCTTAGCGTGCTGTGCGACTGTGAGATTGCCCTCATCATCTTTAACTCGTCCAATAAGCTGTTCCAATACGCCAGTACCGACATGGACAAGGTCCTCCTGAAATACACCGAGTACAACGAACCTCACGAATCGCGCACCAACAGGGACATCCAGGAGGTATGGGCCAGGCGCTCGGCAGGCACGCAGCCGGGCGGTGGCGACGCCAGCAGCGGCGGCGGTGGCGGTGGCCCTCCGGCTTGGGGTAGAGCATGCTGTCTGCAGGTGACGGAGCCGCTGTGGGAGACGATGCTTCAGGTGGCGCTGCAGACGCTGGTGCTGGTGGCGGGGCTGGTGGAGGTCCTGCCGTCTGATCGCATTGCTGGGCTGCTTGTGTCGGGGTTACGCGGCTGCGGCTCGATCTGTGGGGTTGTGCGGCGGCTGCCCGGGCGCACGCGTCTCTCGGCTCCACAGGTGACGTCACCGTGCATGCGCTGTCGACCGGTGCAGGCCGGGGAGGCGTGAGGTGGCGGTCACCGGGGTGTGCTGGTGGCGGGTGAGAGCTGCTCATAGCTGTCGTATGACCTGAGGTCAGCCGCCGGTCCGCCGTGATGAAGGCGGCCGGCGGCCTGCGACCTGAGTAACCGGAACCGGCCTCTCGTAAATCAAAACTACGAATTCACGCGGCTGATTGCACCTTAGGCGTACCCTATCCGCTAATAATCAGCGTGTTTGCACTTGGTGAACTCTGCCATGCAACAATGCAACCATGGAATATGATTATACACGTGCATGCACGGAGGAACACAGCACCATCTAAAGTCCGTGGATTCTGTATTTTGTGTTACGAAATGATGGGCTGTGGGCTGCGGAGGTGTAGGACAGCCAGGATCGATGTATAACACGTGAACTGTTGCGTCATTCACTGCGCATCAGTCACGTCTGTCTGCCTGTCTGTTGTCGCTGTGTGTGTTTGTTGTGAGCATTTGTGTCTGAGTTGCAGCAGCCCGCCCGCCCAGTTGATTACTATCATAATCCCCAGTCACGGTGCTTGTACGCCTGTCCCGTACCGTGTCTGTCTGCCTGTCTGTTGTCTGCCATGTTTTGATTATTTGTTTGCCTTTGTCTGTACGATGCGATTTTAGCGATGTATTTCGTCGAAGTCTCAAAGCGGCACGAGTAAAAACCCAACTTATCTCGCATGACGCCTTCCCAAGCTTGACGCCGCAGATTGTTGTTGTCTCCCCTGATGTCATGGTGTCATGTTTTCGTGACTCATCTCAGCTCCACTCGCGACCGTAAAGCCCGGCTTCTCCGGCGGGCTGCCGCACTGGACCGTGTATATGCAGGCCGGCGCTAGCACTCCGCGGCAGGCATCCTGCCGCCGTCCGCTGATGAACGGCGCTCTGCGGGCCTGTGGCCGGCGTATGGAGTACGCAGTCATCAGGCCCCTGACGCGGGGTGAGGCGCGCGAGATGTGCCGAGCCAGGCGGGGCGCTCGGACGGCGGAGCGGCGGCGGGCCCGGTCGAGGGCCCGAACGGGGCCGGCGCTCTGCGGACAGACGCGTTGAGACCGCCACTCCGCCCACTCTGCCACTGCGACGCGACACTCCGACACTCTTAGTATGGGCACTCCGCCGCTCCGCCACTCGTAATGTCGGCGTCCATGACTTGTTTCGGGGAGCGATATCACCTGTTCATCTGTGTAGGACGTTGATCTGATTTCCCATGCAGGATGCAGTTTTCTAAATAGCGGTGAGGCTGCGACTCCAATGTCTTGCTCCGTCCCTGAATGTTGCAGCGAGCTATTCGAGATGTGAACGTGAAGTAGGTCAGGATCGCATCACCCCAACGCTGGTTTCGGGTGCCCTTCGACGTGCAGGGCTCTTCAATCTCATCGGTTGGTCGTGCAAGACTTACTCCGGGCAATTCCAGGACTAACTACCGATGATTAATGAACGTAAGGGCCAAAAAAAACCGTCAATCGCTGGATTTCCAGGTGCATGAGCAGCGCCGGTTGTTGATATCCGAGCCAGCCGTCGCCGTGCTGTTAGCCTGTGGGGGGCTTTCCAGCGCTGGCGACCGCGCTGCACGCGGCGGCGTGCGCCGATCCAATCGTGGCGGCGCGTCCGGGCGCCCCTGAACCCGAGTTATGGCCGGCCGGCTCCGAGCGCCGCTGCGGCCGACGTCTGGGGGGCAGCGACGCGGCCGGCCGGCCCGCTTGTTAGTGTCGCGTGCTGAGGGCAGCCCACTGCGCAGCGTAGAGGTCCAGCCGACGTCGGACACGACAGCGACACACGGCAGACGTTGCCCGGGCGGACAGAGCGACGCTGTAGCGTTGGCTAAGGGTTTCATTGGTTGATTACGGTTGGATCCATTCAGCGGCGGCTGGAGAAGTCTCCCGTGGGGAAGCCAGTCACATGTTTTGTAGGGCGTCCAGGACTCGTTCAGGTCAGGTCCCTGCGCCGCTTCAGTGGTATTCACCTTGGCTCTTTACAGGGTCAGCAAGTAGAAAGTCCCTTTGGAGGCAGCCAGAATCCGCGTTGATGTCAATGAAACTTTATTAACGCGGTTTCAAATGCACGTTGTGTGTCGGGATCTGTCGGGGAACCCTGGCGCTGCCCCGCAGAGCGGCCGGCAGGGGGCGCGCCAGTCAAGGCCCGCTCCAATTGATCAGCGTGACGTCACAATCGGAGGTAGGGAGGGGGCAGCCGCCCGCGGCGGCTGGGATGACCCCGAGGCCACAGGTCGTATCGACCGGCCGCCGGGCGTCCGCATCTGATCCGGGGCGGGGGCTGCCGCCCGGCTGTCCCTGGGCTGGTGGGGAGGGGTGGGGTGAGCCACCCACCGTCGAGGGCAAAGCAGGCGCCTCCCGCCCTAAGACTTCGCTCCGAACACGACTCCGACTCGACCGTGTGTTGCCGGCTTCCCTGTCCAGGCTGGTCGTTTCCGGAGCGGCTAAGTGCACTGGCATTTTTCTGGGGGTTCGGCCGGTGCCAGCGGCCGGCTGCTCACGGCTCCAGCGACCATGCTGTGGATGCGCGCGCTAAACGGTCAGAAAAAGACGCTTCCCATTAACCTCGCGGCGCCATGATGGGAGGATCAAGTCGGGTGGTCAGTCGACTGTACCGCCTCATTCCCGGCCGAAGGTGGCTTGTTTGGTGTGCTGGACGATCACGTTCGGATTGGATCTGGATGTTTGGATGCTGGATCTGCGATCCGCCGCACCTGGCGCGTGAGATTCGGTCCATTTAGCCAGTTGGGCATCCGCGCCAGACTCTGGCCGGGCCTCCGTGACATGCCGGTGCGCCCGACTGGCTTGCAGTTCAGGGCCGTCAGCTGTTTCCCTGATCTCAGATCAACTTGATATGTCCTGTGTGAGTCGTGTCCACAGCATTGCATGCGTGCTGCTATCTGCAAAGCACCGCCGGCTTAGTCTCCTCCTCGCCGTAAACGTTGTCTTGGCCAATAATTCTCATAACGATAAGGCGCGCCAGTGAGCGGAGTCCATGTACGCCGGCGAGGGACCTGTTCCGCACGTCACACGGGCTGCTGCCGGCAGCTGTAGAGGCGGGCTCTCTGCTCTGGCCTCGCCTGGGACGCCCCAGCCCGTCACTTGCGCCTGTGCTCCCAGGCCCAGACCCGGCCCGGCGCTGCTGATCTGTCGTCAGCCTCAGCTCCTGGCCGCCGCTGCCGGTGCCTGGCTTGATCCCGTGTCATCCGCCAGGACACACACACGCACGCACGCACGCACGCACGCACGCACGCACGCACGCACTCATGCATGTATATATATATATATATATATATATATATATATATATATCTATACCACTCTAGTGCAGTGTTTCCACTTTCGTATGTGTTGTGTGCGGCTGTGAATTGCGTCAGTTGGTGCGACAACAGACCTTGTCAGCGGCGGTATCGCTGTTTACACTCCTGGCTTCGGAACTGGCTGACCCCTGTTTCGCGGAGCGCCCGGACCGGAATGTCTTGCGCTCGCGCCGGCGGAAGCCCCGCACGCCCACCGGCCACGGCCAAGGACACGAACAGCCCTTCCGGCTTCGTTAGGCGAGACACGCGCAGCGCTGCCCTGTTATCTGGTTTTAGCGTAAGCCGGCAGAGGGTCTTCCTTTGGCCGGGGTCACTGAGACCATCAAAGCTTCTGTCGCGAGTGGTTTGGCTCTCAAAGCTTCGTGCACGTAGGGTGGTGGTTTGCGTGAACTCTGTTGTAAGCCTGCGAAAACCAGAGTTTATTGAAAGGAGATTAAGCTTTTTGGAGGTCTTTGAAGTACCGGTGATCTCGTAGATCAAGATAAGTACAGCTGCGACTTCCAAACGTGCCGAACGGTCCCGTTCAACACAGCCGCACGCCCGGGCCTGCAGTGGCGCCATGGCCGACCAAGACGCTTCGTCTTCGCGACTTGCTCTGCACTTAATTTCCCCCTATCACCGCGTCGAACTCAGCTGAGTGTGGCGGCAAGCGACGCGCTGGAGAGTAGACCGCGGCGGCTACGCTGCAGACAAAGCGTCCAGTGGCAGCGTCTCACCACTGCACCATGACGTGGCGACGTTTTCTCCCGCGTGCGGTTGGCCTCTCCGGGTCGTCCCGTTCACCGCGTGCATGTCCGCTCAGCTGGAATCTCTGTGCGGCAAGCATAGCACATTTCCTCCCCCTCTCCGTGCCTGTGTCCCTCGGTTGTGTTGGGAAGCTGTTCCGTATGATGGGAGCGGTAATAGAATGGTGACACGTCCAAGCGTATCCACACGTACGAAGTGCTCTGAGGTGTCCTGTGTGCGCGGCGTTTTGATTATTGCGTGCATTCGCGCCGTCGGTTACATCGGGGCGAACCTAGTCACTGGATTAGTGGGGCAATAGGGAATGTCGCCAACAGTCCAGGTGTTTACATCTTTTTCCGATATACGGCCCCAAGGCCCGACCCAGCGAACCCAGCGAAGATCGGGCTACCTTCTGCGGACTCCTTGCGTGAAGAAGGCGTCATAGTCCAGGGTTGTTATCGCAGGAGCCTCAAATCGCCTATTTGTTGTCCCAGTCCCTGGTCGCAGATAGCAATCAGCCGCGGCGGCGTCTGCTTGGCACGGCCCGCGACCCACCGCACCTCCCGCCGCGCCCGCCCCGCCGGAGCCCCGCTTCGCCGTATTGTATCCAGTGAGCCCTCCCGGTCGCTGCTGCTGCCATTTTTCATGGCCGCATGCCCGCCAGCTTAAATCTTTTGACCGGATGCAAGCCTGCTTTTGAGTCAGCCTTAGCTCAAGCCGGAGCACAGCTCACCGATCGATCGGTGGAACAGGTCGCAATCGCGCCGAAATCGACGCCGGCCGACTAGGACATCTCTGAGCGGGAGCGGTCAGCGGTGCGGCGTTGTGGCCGCCGCGCCGCCTCCCTGGTCTCCATGCCGGCCGCCGACCGACCCGCGGCCCCCCTGCCGCCGCCACCGGCAGCTGTGTCACGGTCGTGGCCAAAACCATGGCGGATGTTTGCGATCGGCCACTATTTCGGCCGGCCGGTGGCGCGTTTATAGGCGGCCGCGATAGCCGGTGGCGGCGGGGACGGACCGGCCTCGCGGCCCCATCGGAACTCTGTTTGCTTTAGATGCGCTGCTATGGCGAGCGAGTCGGCCACTGCGAGCGCTCATGGACCATCGCTAGTGTCCGTCCACTGTGCTAATGGCAAAGGACAAATGTTGTTAATTGACGGCGACGGTCGAGTCGAGCGCGACCGTCGTCCACTATGCGGGCGGCGCCACCCAGCGGCCGCGCGCTCTGCAAACATCCCGGCGTTGGTGCATGCAGGCGACCAAAAGTCTGTCGTGTCTACGCAGGAGTTCGCTGTCTGTGTCCGACCTGACGTTTTTTGTCTACGTCTGTGGCGATTTCCACCGTTCATGTCTGTGCCGTCGCTGGTGACTCGTGGTTGTGCATGTCCCGTTGTATATGACCGTGCGGAGGCTCGCGTCTTCACCTGTGCGGAAGCCCACTACACCCCTCGTGACCCTCCTGTGTGTATGCCGGCGTGCCAAGCCCCCCACCCCCTCCCACTCACTCACCCCCACCTGTGTCCACGAGCCTCCTTTCACCGGCTTACCACTGCCGGCGGTTTCAGGCGCTGAACAAGAAGGAACACAAGAACGGCGGTCTTAGTCCCGAGAGCCCCGAGCCGGAGGACTTCCTGGCGCCGCGCGCCGACCCCAAGTACAGCAAGATCGAGGAGGAGTACCAGGTGCTGATGCAGCGTAGCAACCAGCTCAACGGCAACAGGGTGAGTCGGGCGCCGGATCGGGACCGGAGCGTGGGAGTCAGGGGATCGGGACCGGAGCGGGAGAATCAGGGGATCGGGACCGGAGCGGGAGAGTCGGGGGATCGGGACGGGAGCGAGAGAGTCGGGGGATCGGGACCGGGCGTGAGAGTCAGGGGATCGGGACCGGAGCGGGAGAATCAGGGGATCGGGACCGGAGCGGGAGAGTCGGGGGATCGGGACCGGAGCGTGAGAGTCAGGGGATCGGGACCGGAGCGTGGGAGTCAGGGGATCGGGACCGGAGCGGGAGAGTCGGGGATCGGGACGGGAGCGGGAGTCGGGGGATCGGGACGGGAGCGGGAGAGTCGGGGGATCGGGACCGGAGCGGGAAGTCGGGGGATCGGGACCGGAGCGGAGAGTTGGGGGATCGGGACCGGAGCGGGAGAGTCGGGGGATCGGGACCGGAGCGGGAGAGTCGGGGGATCGGGACCGGAGCGGGAGAGTCGGGGGATCGGGACCGGAACGGTCGGGACCGGATCAGGACCGGAGCGGGAGAGTTGGGGACCGGATCAGGACCGGAGCGGAGTCGGTATCGGGCGGGAGCCGCGGCGCGGGTCCAATAGTCACGGGACTTCCTGACGGCAGGCTGCCTGACCTGCAGCTGGACAGGAGCTGTGGGCAGAGTCTGTCGCTAAGGGGCGCAGGCTGCATCATTTGACGTCTCCCACGCATGGCTGCAATTCTAGCAGCTGGCCTTGCTTTTCGTTGCAGGCGACGTCGGGAACGGCCTATTATGATTTTTTAAGTTACTGTATGCTCGCCGCCTTTGTCGAGCTATAATTTCCAAAGAAAAGATGAGCACCTGTATCGGTATGATCAAGCAGTCGTGGTTCGTGCACAGTTACAGTGCTTCATGGCTAGCTAGAGAGAGGCGGATTAGCCTGGTATTTACGTCCCTCGGGAGACTGACGGCTTTTATTGCCGGATAACCAGGAGAGCGGCGAGCGCGGGGCGGTCTGAGGTCCCCGGCTGGCCTTCCCAGCGGACCGCGGAGCTGTCACGCGCGGTGGGCGGGCAGGGGTGTCCCCAGCGCGGACCCGGGACCGCCTCGGCGTGTCGGGACGACCGTAAAATCGTTAGCCGGCCGCGCCCCGTGGCCTGGGCGGGGTTAGGGTCGGTCGATCCGCCACGATACGCCGGTCAGCCGGCCAGCACCCGAACTGGTCTGGTGCCCCTCCAGCTTGAGCCGTGGCGTCCGCCGTGTACCGCCGGGGGCACCTCTCACCACCTCTGGGGGCGCCGGCCGGCGCGCCTCTTCTGAATGGTGTCATCCCCGCAATCGGCATGGCCTTCCGAGTACAACCGAGTGACTGGGCGTATTCGTTAGCCTGCAAGACCACGAGACCAATTTTGAGGAGTGTGTGCCACCGTGAAGCCGGCTGGGCCGTCGGCCCCACGGCGCACTCTCTGCCCTTGCAGCGGTGGCGATGTTTACCCGTTCGTGCACAGACGTCGTGCATTTTCGCCGGCCGTTGGCCGATGTAGCTCACTCGCTCCCCGGATCCGGCCTGTAATGGGATGCCACGCTCAACGTTCATTGCATCGTCTCCGTCCATGCGGCAGGCTCTCATCATACATTGAGTTCCGTCGCCGCTGGCCGAACCGCGCAGGCGAGCTGAGTGCTTCACCGCACGCGAATGCCGTGCAGTCTGTCGCCGGGCTCGCCGCGGCCTGCCCGGAGGTGGTGTTGTCTGGTACGCGAAATCTGGCCTAGGTCAAGCTGCGGCGGAACAAAGGAGCCGTGCCGCGACCCCGGCGACGGCGGCCGCTCACTGCTTTCCGGACTTGGCCTGGCCCCTCGGGTCACGTGAAGCACATCCTTGCCATAGCGCGGAGGGCGGCCGGGTTCGCTTGGTCATGCTTGCGCCAGTGCCTCCCGCTTGCCTCCCGTAGCAGGGTCGGGGCGGGGCGGGGCGGGGGCGCTCGTGCCGCTGAGTCGTGCAGGAGTCGAGCAGGCGGCGGGCGCATAGTTGCGGCCGGGTGTCTGCCCAAATACACAGAGACGCGGTCAAGGTCGCGACGGCCGGCGGTCTGATGTCATGGTGGCCGCCGACCGGCCGGACAGGGCACTCAGGGACGGGACTGACCGGGCCGACCGGCCGGACAGGGCACTGTCAGGGACGGGGCTGACCGGGCCGACCGGCCGGACAGGGCACTGACAGGGACGGGGCTGACCGGGCCGACCGGCCGGACAGGGCACTGACAGGGACGGGGCTGACCGGGCCGACCGGCCGGACAGGGCACTGACAGGGACGGAGCTGACCGGGCCGACCGGCCGGACAGGGCACTGACAGGGACGGGGCTGACCGGGCCGACCGGCCGGACAGGGCACTGACAGGGACGGGGCTGGCCGGGCCAACCGGCCGGACAGGGCACTGACAGGGACGGGGCTGACCGGGCCGACCGGCCGGACAGGGCACTGACAGGGACGGGGCTGGCCGGGCCGACCGGCCGGACAGGGCACTGACAGGGACGGGGCTGACCGGGCCGACCGGCCGGACAGGGCACTGACAGGGACGGGGCTGGCCGGGCCGACTGGCCGGACAGGACACTGGCAGGGACGGGAAGGACGGGATGGAGCTCATAATGGATGATGGGACAAGACAGCGGCTTAGGGCAAGCATCACCGGAAACTTACATGACCACTAGACATTAGTTTCAGAACCTGTAGTAGCAGGGAGGACTGAACAGGACTGCTATCCAGGGACAGTCACTCAAAGGAGATATGACTGGCCGTTCAGAAGAATACATAACATTATAAGACAGGACGACGCAGAACAGGGTGGACCAAGCAGACCAGAACCAAAACTGAGCCAGCAGTTCAGCGAAGGATATGTAGGGCAGAACATCAAGATGGAATAGTTAGCCCCCCCCCCCCCCCCCCCCCCCCCCCAGAAGCGGTACAACTCCGGTGGCGAGGTCCTTGGCCTAGGGCATCGACCGGCAGGGCCAGGCCAGGCCCCCGTGGTCTGGTCGTGCCGCCTGCTGGTCGCTGCTGCTGACGCAGCCAGAGGCGGGCCGTTTGACGCCTGCTGGTCGCTGCTGACGCAGCCAGCGGCGCGCCGTCTGACGCCTGCTGGTCGCTGCTGACGCGGCCAGCGGCGCGCCGCCTGACGCCTGCTGGTCGCTGCTGACGCGGCCAGCGGCGCGTCGTCTGACGCCTGCTGGTCGCTGCTGACGCAGCCAGCGGCGCGCCGTCTGACGCCTGCTGGTCTTTACTGACGCGGCCAGCGGCGTGCCGTCTGACGCCGGCGTCACTGGCCGCTCCACGCTGCCCTGCTTGGCCGGCTCGCCGTGGCTCGCCGGCCGGTGAGCCGGTCTGGCCGGTGGGTGGCGCGGCGCGGCCTGGCCGCGCGTCGGCCCTTGTACGGGCAGCCCCTCCCCTTCTCCCCGGGCTGGGCTCCACCGCTCACGGAGCCCACATGCGCGACGTCGACTCGGCGCGACAGCAAACGCCACCGGTCTGATCTCAGGTATCGGTGTGTGAAGTGTGGACGTGCCGAAGCGCTGGGTGCACCTCATTAAGAACGCCCCGGGCGAGGCGAGATTGAGCATAGTCGGCCCCTGACCGGGCGCGCGCATTGGGGCCGTGGTGCGTGAGCTGGTGCGGATGCGCATGCCACCTAGGATGCATATGGGCCGGTGGTTTCGCGTGAACAACTGCCCGGATCAACGTCTCCAAGCATGTTCTACAAGGCCAACCACACAAGTGCAAACCAAGGCGGACTGGGCCTGGTTTGGCGACGGCGTGAGTGTCGGATTACATTTTTTTGCGCCGGCCAGCTCACAGGCCTAAGGAGCGAACTTGTATCTGAGCAGGTCTGCCACAAACCCACAATGAAAGGAATTATCCCGTGGCTTCGTTGGAATTCGTCGCCTGTGCAAGACTGGGGCTCGCCGCCCGTTCCATGGCCGCGTGTTTATCATCTCTAGCCCCAATGTAAACGATGTGCGTCAGTGGCTGCCTGTTGAGCGACCAGCATGCAGCGGCGGTCTCTGGAGTATAGTGAGGGACATCTCACTGCCGGCGGACGGCTGCCAGGAGGCCACCGGGCGCCTTGCGGCGCTGGTCAGCGCGTCAGGTGGCCTCGACCCGCCACCTCAGCCCGCGGCGTGCGGCGGCTCCTCCCGGCAGGCCGACGCTGACTTCGCTCTGTCCACTTTGCAGGTGGGCCTGTCCCTGGGCGGGTATCAGCTGGGCGGCGGAGGCGGCGGCAGCAGCGGGACAGGCGGCGGTGGCGGCGGCGGTGGCGGCGCCGGCGGCGGCAGCGTGGCCGTCAACAGCCCGTACGGCGCCGGCTCGGAGGCCGGCGGCGGCGGCGGCGGCGCCATGATGCAGCCTTCACCGCAGATGCAGCACTCGCTCAGTCCGCGCCCCGGCTCGTCTCAAGGTAGGTCCGCCCCCCCCCCCTCCCTTCTTCTCCCCACGTCGCACGGCTGCAGTGTTGATGCGCGATGGCAGCTGCCCGTGACCGGCGTCCAGAGTTCTGTCGACGAGGATAGGAAATCAGACGTCTGTTTCTCAGCGGTGACCAATGGCCGGACCGACCCTGGCTCCCAGTCCCCGGCAGCGCCTGTCGCGAGGGCACGTCGCTGGTACACATGACCGGCATGCGGGAGCCGGTCGGCGCCCTCGTGTGGGCGCGGCTGTGCGGTGTGGAAGTGGGGCGGGGGGGGGGGGGGCGGGCGGCAGTCCGCCGCGGCGCCATCTGAAGAGCGGCTCTCATGACCGCGGACGCTGCACGGCCGTCAGTCGATCTCGTCGACAAAGCTGGTCGATCTTAAAGAAACAAACGAACAAAAACAAAGCAAAAAAACGCTGCGTTATCGTCCTCGCGCGTTGATCATACTCAACCGAGGTCATGTTCGTGTTCACTGTCAAATTGTCACGACACACGTTGTTCCGTGTTGGAATCTTAGTATGCGCCACATCTGGAATCAATAGCACCACAATCAAGCAGCATTGGCGAGGTGCGTGTACCAACCGCATGTGATACCCTTCGGCTTGGGCGACCGCGGCAGCCAGCAGCATCCTCCGCGTTGGGCACAAAATGGCCATTGTGGTCGGCGTGTCCTGAAGCGCCAACAACCAACAAAGGCACCCTCCTCGCCCGCAGGCTTGCTGGACATGTCCAACGGCTACCCGAACTCGACTTCTCCACTGCCAGGATCAACGTCTCCGAGCATGTTCCACAAGGTCAACCACAGCATGAAGCCGCAGCACTCGCCGAACGGGGCTCAGGCGACGGTACGGCAGCACCGGGCTCGTGATGTGGATCCACGGATCCACATCGTGGCTCTGGATCCACAGCCCTGGATTCATGGGGGACGGGGACGAGACGACCATCCCAGCTCTCGAGCACGCAGGTTGTTGTATGGAACCGGCGAATGGCGGCATGAAAACTTTCATAAATGCTGAAAAACCGTGATTTCTGTGCTTATATCCGCCATCATATATCGCTGCCGCCTTTGTGGCGAGGCCTCGCTAAGCTTTTGGGTGCATTTAAGCGTGTATTTACAATGTGAACTAAGACTTTGAGGCACAATGGCATATAGGCGGTCATATGCTGCTGTGCATTGGTCACGTCACCTCTCCCCGCCTTGGGCATGTTGTGCGTGACTCTTGAAGGTGTCGATGTTGCACGCCTGCGTTGTGTTCAGCAACTTTCAGTCCCTTTGCGCCCATGTTTGAGCGGAGGACGCGTTGCGAGGGACCTGTTGTCAAGCCCTCACGGCGCGTGACCAGCCGCACTCCTACACCCAGTGCGTGCTGGCGCAGTAGAGGGTCTCTCATAGGGAGTGCGCGAACTCCTGGCGCAGTAGAGGGTCTCCTACAGAGAGCACACGAATTTGTGGCACAGGCTGGCGCGGTAGGGGTCTCTACTGGGAACACGGGAGCTCCCGGCGCAGGCTGGCGCAGTAGGGGGTCTCTACTGGGAACACGGGAGCTCCCGGCGCAGGCTGGCGCAGTCGGGGGTCTCTACAGGGAACACGGGAGCTCCCGGCGCAGGCTGGAGCAGCATAGCGTCTTTCACATGGAGCGCGCGAACTCGTGGCGCAGGCTGGCGCAGTAGAGGATCTCCCACGGGGCGTACGTAAACTCGTGGCGCAGGCTGGCGCAGTAGAGGGTCTCCCACGGGGCGTACGTAAACTCGTGGCGCAGGCTGGCGCAGTAGAGGGTCTCCCACGGGGCGTACGTAAACTCCTGGCGCAGGCTGGCGCAGTAGAGGGTCTCCCACGGGGCGTACGTAAACTCGTGGCGCAGGCTGGCGCAGTAGAGGGTCTCCCACGGGGCGTGCGCAAACTCGTGGCGCAGGCTGGCGCAGTAGGGGGTCTCCCACAGAGAGCACGCGAACTCGTGTCGCAGGTTGGCGCAGTAGAGGATCTCCCACGGGGCGTACGTAAACTCCTGGCGCAGGCTGGCGCAGTCGCAGTCGTGTTCCGCTCGGCCTTGGGCGTCGGCGCTGATCTCAGGACGTTGTCGTGTCGCCACCTAAGTAACGGCATGTCTGTGGCTGTTTTATGACGCTGATGACGGGAATACGGCAGCAGTCACGGCACCAGAGCAGCTGCCACGAATCACGGCACCAAGGCAGCTGCCATAAATCACGCCACCATGGCAGATGTCACGAATCATGGCAGCGGCTTCGGAATCATCGCACCATTTGCGTGGTTGTGAACAGCAGAATTTCTTCAAGTTGAATTTGAGGGTGCTAAGAGACATACTCAATTAGCCTAGTCTTCGGATTCGTTTGCGGATTGCAACATCATTTTTACGATTACGACGCAACTTTATGGGACAAGACAAGCAGTTGGCTAAGTAGCGTAACGACCCCCAAGACAAAAAGTTGGGCGAGGAATGGTGCGGCCTCAAACAGTTGTATGGGGGGGGGGGGGGTAACAGCCCAAAAGATCTACAAAGCTCCGTCCAGGGTCGAGGTGCTGTGTAGCCGCCGGTCTGCCGCTGGCTGAAGCCGACGGTGCCGACACCTCTCGGCCGGGGCGCGCACTGACCCAGCTTGGTGTTTGCTGTAGATGCCGCGAGGTGGCGGTGGCGGCGGGCCAAGCATGGCCTCGGCTTCCGGCCTCCCGCCTGGTCTCAGCTACCCAGCCTCCTTCGGCGGCCAGGAATTTGTCAACCAGGACATCCAGCTGTCAAATCTGAACTCGCTTCACCCGTGGAACACATCCGTGGGCATAGGAGTCGTCCCGCAAGGAGGCCATCCCTCCATGCACCACAAGTAAGGCGCTCCCTCGGCGCTAGGCCAAACTGCTGAGAATTATCTCATTAAGAAGACTCAGCGATATTCTGTGCGACATGTTGTCCGTCTATGATGAGAGACGATATGGGCTTTGTGTCCCAAATGTCTTGGTATGCCGGGTATTGTATCGCCATTGCCTCTTTAATATCAGCCACCAGTTGTCCCCACCGAGCCTGTTATTGATGCAGTTCTTAGAAGAAGCGTTGCTAGAAAACACGGTATGCTTACTTTCGCTGTCTTATCTCTCCACGCGACCGCTGCCCGGCATATGTGTGTTCATGACAGCGGATCGTGTGTGTGTATGGGTTGGGATAAGGCTAGCACCTACCGAGGACAGACATTTGTAGGAGTTTGTAAACTGTTCACACATGTTGTGGGACATCAAAGATGAAATACCAGCGAACATTTCCGTGCTTTATGTGACGTCATTTGTCGCCCTGAACGTTGAATTCCGGAGCGGCTAACCACGCCAGCGACGGGTGGATTGTCACGATTACAGTTATGCAATGGCCGTTTAACCGCGTGTGTGGAATGTCAACCACGCCTGTCACCCCTTGGGTCAAAGTAAGCATTTGTGTGGATTATGTGCCCAGATTGTCTCTGTCGCCGCGCTGACTGATGAACGGTTGGTTTCGGGGAAAGCTGTTTCTGGTGGCGCCCCTCTGCTGCAACTGACTGATGGCGCCCCTCCGCTACAGCTGTCCCTGATGGCGCCAATCCGCTGCAGCTGTCTCCAACGGCGCCCCTGCGCTACAGCTGTCCCTGACAACGCCCCTCCGCTGCTACTGTCTCCGACGGCGCCCCTCTGCTACAGCTGTCCCTAATGGCGCCCCTCAGCTGCAGCTGTCTCTGACGGCGCCCCTCTGTTGCAGCTGTCCCTCACGGCTCCCCTCTGTTGCAGCTGTCCCTGACGGCGCCCCTCTGTTGCAGCGTGCCGCACGTCTCCGTCTCGAGCAGCTCGCCGCCTCCGCACGGCGGCTCGCCCTCCCCGCTACGCATGATTAAGAGCGAGCCCGTCTCACCGCCTCGCGACGGCCACACCCCGAACGGCATGCAGCACATGCGTCCCAGCTCCACCGGCCACCTGTCGCCCGGCAATATGGCGCCAGGTGAGTGGCGCGCCTGCTCGGCCGGCATGCAACGGGCTGCGGAGAGGGGTCAGTGCTCACCTGCTCTGACCGGTGATGGTCGGAGTTGTTTGGTGTCGGCGTGGAGTGGGCTGCAGAGGTCAGTGTTGAGCTGATCTGACCGGTCATGGTCGGGTTTGTTTGGTGCGGGCGTGGAGCGGCCTAAGGAGGGGGTCAGTGCTCAGCTGCTCTGACCGGGAGCGATCAGGGTTATTATTCGGCGCCGTCCCGGGCTGCTCTCCTGTGTCCTTGGGAACAAGCCAGAGAATGGAGCTGTGCAATGTTTAAGCTTTTGAGCCGTCGAAACGGGCTTCTTCTGGTCCTATATCATATTAAGGAAATCTTAACTTTATCTCGGCCCAAAGACCAGAGGGCAGCCACTTTCTGCTGCTTTGGACCGACTGATTTCACGAGGTTTCCTGCTGTCAGCTCTGCGTGTCTCAATCGCCCCGGTCTCTGCGGGTGTAGGCCTGTTCTGTTTTGCGTACGCTGGGCAGCGGTTGTACACCTTTTGCTCAGCTGCATAGACGCTAGGCATGTGTCTGGTAGTAAATGACAGGTCTGTCCGGATTCATCTCTTCTCTTCCCTGGGACGGGTCTTGTGGCCTGAAATCCTGTATCGTTGCGTGCAGTGGGGCAGGGAATCACGTAGATTCTCAGACGTTGGACGTGTGATCTCACCAGTTTCATCCTCTGCGCTGGCTCCCCGGGGACTGGGGTGTTCAAGGTCCAGTGGGGAACGTAAACCGGATTTGAGCCGAGCAAATGTGGTTGGCGCCAGGCTTTGCAATGAAGGTGGAGCTATTGCCAGTTTACACCAGACGGATTTACGTTCTATAACAGGAGACATTCTGATTTGAGAATCCTCACCGGAATATTGTATTCCATTGCCGTAATTTGGCAATTCTCTACATCCATCAACGGTCGACAGGTTATCCTGATGCAGCGACTATCGTTTAAAACAATCAGGAAAACAGTGCAGATCAAAGGACGCGCTACGGGTTCGCGTGCTCGTCACAACCAGCGTGGCTATACAACCAAAGCTGAATTAAGCCATTAACTGTGTGGTGGAACTTTTAAACCTCTGTGCAGACATTCCAGTCACCATATCAAGAGCATTGTATCGTATGACAGGCTGGTGTTCCAGCTGCCTGTCTTAGAGCTCGGGACAGGGAATTCTAACAATGCCCGGAATGGAGTCGTGGTCGGGGGCTGCCAGCATCTGTTGCGACGCTGTCCGCCGCGTGCATGTTGTGCATGAGAGAGTGCCCGCTGTTGCAGCCCATTTGACGTCATGTGCGGTCAGCGTGCCGGGAGGGGAGGGTCGCAGAGTGCGTCGTTGGTTATTTCTGTAGCATCTGCACTTGAATCTTTCGTCATCCACTTCCCATATTTTGTTTTGGGCGTAAAAAGCTTCGCATCGAATCTGTCCGAGATAAACAGCACCGCCCGGCTCTCCCCTGCGCCTGGCAGGTGGGCCGGTGAGAGAGCGCATGCTTGTCGAGGCGCCTCACTGACGTCGTCCTCTGCGCTGCAGGCATGGTACATCCGGGCCACCTGACGCCCAACAACCCCAGCCACAGTCACAGCTCGCCGGAGCCCAGCTTAAGCGACTACGAGTCTGGCCCGATGCACAAGCGACCGCGCATGACCGACCCGTGGGCGACCTAGCGACCGCGTCTGCGCCCGCGCGCGCGGCGCGCGCGCCTCCGGCGGCGGCGCAGAGCCAGGGCGGAGCGAAGAGTGCCACTGATACGGGTTTGCTCGCCACCACGCGGTGCAAGACTGGACCGATGTGACGCAGAAGAGTGTCTATTTTCTCAGGAGGTGTGCGCCGGCCCGGGCGCGTGAGCGGGCGTGTACATAGCAGCGGCCGCCGCCGCGCACGCGGTGCGGAGCCGATCTCAACGGTGGCGGCGGCGGCGGCGCCCGGCCCGGGCGGCGCCGCGCGCGCCCGTCTCTGTCTCGCCTTGTTTGCCTGCGCTCCATAATGTGAGGACTTCTCGCACTGGTGCGACTGGGCGCCGGCGCGCCACGCACCGGCGAAATCAAAAGTGGGCCGGCGCCGCAGTCCAGGCCCACCACCAGCGGCCCGATGTGTTGTGTCCATGTGCTCAATCTTCCCCGGCTTGCTCTCTGCTCCACTGTACAAATTGTGTTTATTGTTGGATATGCACTCACAGACGAAGCCTATTTGTTCCTGTTTGTGCGCCACTGTTTGTGTCCTCTGTATAGATATATATGTATATGTTTGATCGTGCGGCGGGCGGCGGCGCGGCGATGGTTTCCGTTTTCGCTGGACCACCCCGACAGTGCTGGCTGACAATCGGTGCCGGTCGGTCTCGTTTGGTTCCGTGCTCTTGGCGGCCGGGCTCGCCGGCTCGCGCCGGTGCCAGCGCGCCTCACCCCGGCCATAGAAGAGTAATCAAAACGTAGCGTAACGCTCCGACGCCGTGCGGCGACGCTCCAGTACAAACCAAGTGGCGGGAGGCGGGCGAGGGCGGCCGTCGCGCCGGCCCCGGCCGCGGGGGCGCACGCCGCCGCTCCGGCGAGGCGCCGCCAGCGGGCCCCAGTGCAATGGAGACCAGTTACCAGCGGCCGGCCGGGCCCTATGACAAGCCGCCTTTCATGGCTGTCCGCAGCGCGTGCCCGGCGTTGTTTCATGGCGGTCAGCGGCGAGCGCCAGTCGCTGTTTCATTCTTGCCTCCTGGAACGGGCATTGAGGTCGCCTGTGCGGCGTTACGAACCTAAAATTGTTACTATTTTTAATATAGCGTGTGTATAAAGGTAGCCGTTTATACAAGTCGTTGGCCTTACAAAGTGGTCAGAAGCTTTAACGCTACATTGGAAATTTTAAATCTATGACTCACTTGTGACAGGAGGCCAAGGTGCGTGCGTTGTGTTTAGTTGATGACATTGTCCCTTGGTTGGGCCGCCGTTGAATAGTGCGTGCACGCAGGCCGACCCCTAGCGTTCGGAGCCAGTGACTGTGGTCGTGGTAGCGCGTGCGCTCTGTTAGCCGGTGGCGACCTCTGTGTGCAGATGTCACCGGGTTATTGACTTTCTGAGCTTTGTAATGTAGTGGTGATTTGTTTGTCCCTGTGTGAGGGTTAGCGTCCCGCCCGCGCCGGCCGTCCGGTCCTCTGACTGTACACCGACACCAGCCTACATCTTCACACGGACACACGCTCTCACACGCGCCGCGGTGGACCTGTGTTCCGCCCCGGGCCTCTAGCGATCCCCCAGGGCATCGTGCTTTGTTCGCAAATTTTGTAATAATAAAAGAAATCAACGTACGCGAGTATGTTGGTCGGTCGTGAGACTCGAGCCGCAACGTGCAAATGCAGTGTAGATATGGCCCCGCCAGCCTCGATAAACCGGGCTTGCAGTTTTGTTCACTGGCGATGGATTTCGCTGGTGCCGCGATGGTGCTGGATTTCGCTGGTGCCGCGACGGCGATGGACTTCGCTGGTGCCGCGACGGTGATGGATTTCGCTGGTGCCGCGACGGCGATGGATTTCGCTGGTGCCGCGACGGCGATGGATTGCGCTGGTGCCGCGACGGCGATGGATTTCGCTGGTGCCGCGACGGTGATGGATTGCGCTGGTGCCGCGACGGCGATGGATTGCGCTGGTGCCGCGACGGCGATGGATTTCGCTGATGCTGCGGCGGTGCTGGATTTCGCTTAGCCGGCGCCACCTGGGCTTCGCAGGTGCTCCCGGAACCCGGGCACTTATTGACGTAAACTGTCATACAGTGACAAGGCGCCTATTGCGGTGTGGGATACGCGAGGGAATGGCGCAAGTAAATTTTGGCATCGTGTATACGACGTCAATATGCAGTTGTATGGATGGACACTTGGAAGCTTTAGAAACCCACACGACTGGGCCTCACAATGCGTCAGAGTAACCCATTCTCCTGAGTTCGGCAGGCGGGGGCACGCAGACCAGGATGGAGTTGACTCTCATGTTTGCTAAAGACTTCTCGAAATTTCGCTGGTCTTGGGCCTGGAAAGATCCAAACTTTTACTCGATGGTAGCCATGACCTTGGGACAATATAGGGCTTTGGTGCCTGTGGCCAGCACGCGACAATAATTGCTGTGTCTAAACTACGGTCGCGAAACACTGTTCAGTCCCCCCCCCCCTTCCCCCTCCCCCAGTTTCCATAGTCATTCTATCTCGGCTTAGACTACAACCTGTCGCAGTCGAAGCCAATTTCGCAAAGTTGGCATGTGTCAACTCCCGCACGGATCGGTCCGACAGTTTGGGATTTTTAGCGACGTGAGACGGCATATTGCCTCAACGACGCAGTCGGCTTCATGCTGCTATGCGCTCTAGCTGCCGAGGTCCGACACTGGTAGCGATAACCATACATCGGCGAAACCCGTGGATCAGCAGTCACGCATCCACCCTAGAACCCGCGGATCGATGAGCAGCGCTCGACACTGTTACATGCAGCGGCTCACAATTTGTCGATATCATTGTTCGTTCTTTCCTCCGCCAGGACATGTCGATTTCGCGTCGCTCCAGTCCTGTACTGTCAAATCTGAGTCCGGCTTTGGTCTGTGTCATTCGAATTTTTGACAATTGAAGGAAAACAACGGTTCCCCTGCTGGGGATGTGCTGGGAGTGGGGATGTGACGCAGTAAAACTGTAATGTTCCCAAAAATACAGCTTGATCAGTGCGGATGCAGATGCGTATAAAAACTACGGATTAGGGTATCAGATATGTATACACATACATATATATATATATATATATATATATATATATATATGTATATACATATGTATGTATGTATATACATATATAAACTACACTGTGAAAAAATTGAACTGCTTCTTGTTGAAATTTTCATGACAGTGAGAAGAGTGTCAGAGCTAAGTTCAGTTCAGTTCATTGCATTCACGAATCATTCCAACAAGTGGCTTATTGTTGGACTTATTGTATGACTTAATGGACTGGGCTGGGCCGCTGACGGCATCCAACGATCGTTTGGCTTACACTAAAACTCGCTCGACTTGCGGCCGTGCTCGCCAGCGTACCACTATGGGCAAATTTATCGCTAATGAAAGTGATGTCCTCGCCAAAACTGAAGCTGAAACTGTTTGACGACGAAATGAAAAAAGCAACGAAGGCCCCGAAGGCAAACGAAGACTAACAAAGGACTAGGACCCCAGCATGGAAACGGGTAAAAAACATCCTAGCCCATGACGACGGAAAGTGGAAAAGACGTGACCAACGTCCGGAAGTGTCTCTGCCATGCACGTTTAATGATTAATGTTGGTGTTGAATAACCACTTACCTGCTCAGGCAAAGCACATAGTTTCGCGACCGCATTGGTTGATATTTGGCATCGGTGTATTTTAACAAGTTTTCAGGCAGCACTCATTAACAGACAACAGCGCATTCACACACAACGAAACTCCCGGTAACAGGTTGTAATGGGCGCGACCTATCTCGCGAAAATCAATATCAACGTGAGATAACTAATTACCCCCTGGGTTTAACACGAAACTATCGATTCACCACGCCCATCACGGGCGACATCTGCCGTCGACCCGGGCACTCTGTGACTCCAGAGCTCACCACTAGACGGCGCCAGCGGCGATCCCGCCCTGAGGTGGTGTCGGGTACGGCGCCGTCCGAAGTATGTCACGTGCGCAGCTGGCGCTCGTGGACCGGGCGGCCGTCTAGTCCAGGCGAGCGGAGCGGGCGTGACGGCCGAGCTCCGGCGCCGCCGCCGACTGACGGCTGCCGCTGGCGAGCCGGGGCTGCGCGGCACACAGGCACACAGCACTGAGCGCCTTGGCCAAACGATGCCTGTCGACGGCCAAGGCGTTCAGAGGACGCGGCGTTGGTTACAAACAGCCGGAAGGCTATCGTGTGGGTCGCTGATACTCTCAGGCGTACTTTGCTGCATTTCACTCACGGTATGACACTTGCCATCGGGATAACGGCGTGGGTGCTGCGTCAGCGAAGCAATTAGCTCTGCTTGCGTGGAGTGCATGGAAAAGTGATGCTACAATTTCGAAATATAGGCCACGAAGTTACGGGACCTCACCTCTTCTCGGGACGTTACTTTGTGAAGTTGTTGAGAACTCTCCCAAGATCTAAGATCTTTGCGTACAGTTTGCCAAATGCTCCCGTAGGATTCGGCATTTTTCCAATTGTTCTCAAGGAGGTCTCCTTTGGTCCAGAATTTAAATTCATTTTTAACCGTCTTTCTATCCCTAAGATTCCTTTGTAATTTTTGGCGAGGGATGCTCTGGTATCCGACTTTGACTTCTTGCATCTTGGTACATGACTGACTGGTACATACCTCGTGTTCGCGGGTGTTTCTGTAGAGAGCTTATCTAATGACCGGCTTCAGGAAACTTTCCGAAATTGCCCTCCGCATGAAATCCTCCCTTCGGGGAGGCAGAATAGTTCACAACTTGCAGCTTGCCAGACTTATCGTAGAAGCCGTATCGCCCCTTCAGATTTCCGTACCCGTCTCTCTCCTCAAACCGGAACTGGCGGTTGTACCTGCGAAGAAAGCGGCAGAAACATTACGGCAACGCTACACCCGAGTAGTGTTTGAGATTTGCATAGTTCCGTAAATGTATGCTGCACCACACTTATAATACCATCACGGATCTCAGCATGTTTGTCAGCTTTAATATATACCTCTTTCCTTTTGCACATTCGGTATCACACTATGGTCAGCAGGTATCGTGGCACAAGCCTGTTGTCGCTTCATTGGAAGCAGTGCCATAAATATCCCAGCCAACCCTCCGAAGACCTTTCGGAGAAGGTCAGATTTCATGACTTTTTTCGTGATGCGCCAGAGGCTTCCCCACTCTGCCACGGCTCCGCCACATTCCCACAAGCACGCTAGCCGGCGGACTTGTGCCTCGTAGTGCCCCATTGTCGGCTGCGGTCGACTGGAATCACGGCACCTCGGCATCGACCAAACTGCAGCCGCAGGCGGCACTCGCCCCCGCGCCGGCCGGCTCCGACGGTCGATACCGTTGGAGGTCACCGACTGGGCCGACAGCGGCACCGGCCGACCGGCAGCCCGGTGGATCCTCAGCTCCCGCACCGCCCGCTGGAGCCGTCTGACTCGACAGCGAGCCGTCTGACTCGACAGCGAACCGTCTGACTTGACAGCGAGCCGTTTGACTCAACAGCGAGCCATCTGACCCGACAACTAGCCATCTGACCCGACAGCGAGCCGTCTGACTCGGCGGCGAGCTGTCTTGTCGTGCGCAGACTCGTCTGGCCGTCATCTGGTCCGCCTGACTGACATCGCACACGTCTGGCGGGTCCGCGCCTGACGCTGGTCACGTAAGGACGACCTTGGTCTGACCGTTGGCTGGGTCCGTGTGACGTGTGTCGAGCATCTGTCATGTGCGCTCGCTCCATCGGACTCCGCGTCGGCCCGAATGACAGAAATGTTGTGCTCCTCTGATTACTACAAGACCCAGTAAACCATCGGCCTGTTCTGGTTATGTGTAGCATCGACCATCACGCTACCAAAAGTTTCCGTCGGCCGGGCTCCGTCGGCTTAGCCTCCCCCTCCCCTTACACCTCATCCGGAGCTATCAGCCCTGGATTTGTCAGATGGCTCCGCCTCCTCCCCCACCCCCGGACACGTTCATGCCACAGGCGTCCCTCGTGGAGGGATGGCGGGACCACATCATATCCGCCGCGGCTCCGGGGAAAGTGGTGACGTTCCCGGCGCGCTGCGCCGACATCGCCGTGCGGCTCGTTTCTCGTCACGGTCCGGCTCCGACGCGCCACAGCTCCGTTTCGCACCACTGATTTCAGCGAAAGTGTGCCTGACCGGCTTGAGCGGCGCCGAGCAGAGGAGAGAAGACAGAGCGCATGGGAGAGAAGGCAGAGCGCAGGGTAGAAAAGGCAGAGCACAGAGGAGAGGAGGCAGAGCGCAGGGACGGTAGAGCGCAGGGGGGTGGAGGCAGCGCGCAGGGAGGGAGGGAGGGCAGAGCACAGGGGAGAGGAGGCAGAGCGCAGGGGAGGGAAGACAGAGCGCAGGGGAGAGGAGACAGACTGAGGAGACAGAGCGGGGCAGTATTACCTCACCCCTGGGGCGGTTTCGTGCACGGCAGGGACGTGGTACGGGACGGAAAGCGAGGGCGAGATGGCCGCGAACCGCGGCCACGGCGGAACCAGACGCGTTCGGATCTTCTGACGCAGTCCAGAGAGCGAGACTCGCGCCGCCGGCCATGTTCCCGTGGCGATCACAGCTGGGTGGTCACCGAGACAGGCGCGACCGTCAAGATTCATCCCGCGATTTCTCTCGTCGCGGAGGCTCGGAACTGGCCGGCGTCGCGCTCGGGTGCGCTTCTCCCAAGCATCGTCACATCCTTCACTGAGACCGGTGACTCGATTAGCCGCCGAGAGGGTTCGCTGGGTGATTTTCCGTCCATCAGGCCGAGCGGCTGGCACGACGGGCCGATGGCGGGCAGAAACGCGGCGCGAGACGAGCCCGCCAATCAGACGCACCGGCGCCCGCTAAACTGGGCCAGAGCCGCCGGCGGCGGCGGCGGCGGCGGTCGAACGGGTGCGCAGAGGGCGAGCGGGTGCGACGGTGCTCAGCTCCGGACCTGACCGGCCCGGACCTACGTCACGCAGACACACTTTGCCGCAGGTGACATCCGTTCACACACCCCTCGGTTCCACAGCTTGTTGTCGCCTACCTTAGTTACGTAAGGAAGTTTGAGCCAGCATGACTCCAGCAATTTTTTGACCTAGGAGGTTGAGCAAAAATTACTTTTTAGGGATGCATCTCTTGCGAATTAGTGCTAGCGGTAGGCCCACACAAATCGCCAAATATAACAAACCTCCGCAAGGAAAAATGCGCATTTAACGCATCTGGTCTGGTGCCATGCCTGTTAATCGTAGGCACTGATGGCTTCTGCTAAGCTAGGGTTCATGTGAACTGCATGGCGTTGTTAAGTTTGGCGGTGGGATTAATGCATGCTTTGGTGGTGTAGTCTTTCCGCTCGTAAGCTGGGACGCACGAACTTCCCTTAGTCTGCGGATTCCCAGCCCCAGTGGGGCATTTATGCCTCAACATGATGCGGAGCCTTTCATATTGGATTGTGAGCACAGCTTTAAAATTTGATGGCTTGGCTTCTGGCAAGCGGTGCAGAAAAGTCCATTGCACTTATTTACGACCTGCTTAGTTGGGGCAAAATTGGGTAGCTTTGCAGACAAACTACCCACGCGAGATGGACGGTAGAGAAGGATTTGCTGTTAAGGCGCCAACGTGTGAGCCTGCTCCCATTGCTGGGAACGGCGGATGCAGTGTCACGGCTTGAAAAGATAGAGCCATTCTGACGGGCGTTGAACGCGGGCGGGGGAAGTACGACGGGCCCCCTTCCGAGAGACGCGAGGCGTCACCGTGGTGGACAGGGTGGCAGGGCAGCACTACGGCCATGCTCACAATAAACTACGCACCATGTATGTCATGGATCTGGGGCTGAATCGATGCTACAAACATAGCAGTACGTTACGTGAGAGAATCAATCATTATCAGAGCATGTCCCGCGTGTGCTGCCATTAGTTGGGGTATTCAACTCGTGAGTGGCTTTCAAATCTGTCAATCGTGCTTTGCTTGATGGCAGTCTCATGTCAGGCGAAAGATAGCCAACATGTCCAAACTTATGCGGTCATGGTCGCTACCAAGTGCTTGAACATAATAAAACTCATTTAGTTGGGTCACGCGTTGCGCGCCCAAAACCTTTGTTGACGTGTTTAGTTATGTGTCAACGCTCTATAACAGATAGCGGTGATCCATGCTTCGCTTCCTTAACGGTAGCCAAGACCTTCAAGTGACTTCCAGCCTCTTCACAACGCGTTAAGTAGCGAGCTCCTGCTGCGGCTCAACCTGCGCGATAGGAGCCGCCGGCCCGACTCCCAGACAGCGGGCAGCGTTTTCCAGCAGCTGGGGCGGCAGCTGTGGCCAGGCTAATGGGAGAGCGTCGGACACGGGACAGGCAGCCATCTCGCTGAGAGCAGCTAGGGTGGCAGCTGTGGTCAGGCTAATACGAGAGCGTCGGACACGGGACAGGCAGCCAGCTCGCTGAGAGCAGCTAGGGCGGCAGCTGTGGTCAGGCTAATAGGAGAGCGTCGGACACGGGACAGGTAGCGAGCTCGCTGAGAGCAGCTAGGGCGGCAGCTGTGGCCAGGCTAATAGGAGAGCGTCGGACACGGGACAGGCAGCGAGCTCGCTGAGAGCAGCTGGGGCGGCAGCTGTGGTCAGGCTAATAGGAGAGCGTCGGACACGGGACAGGCAGCCCGCCCGCCGAGCCGTGACGGCTAGCTCGTGCACCTGCGCAAGGCGGCTGACGGCACGAGCCGGTGCTAATCGTGACAACGTCGCCGTCAGCGTGGTGTGATGTACTTGCGACATCAATCGTGTATGGAATACATGGTTCGAAGAGAATGTTGCGGAAAGTAATCTTTCCCCGGACAGTGCAGCATTCTCATGACGTGTGCTACATTGGAATCGTGTGCGGTCCGCACTCCCCCGAAGACCTGCCTTTAAGTCGTATTACCTTGATGGTGGGAATTGCTCCTCAATTAGGATCAATGTCCAGCATCATTTACCGCTGCCTCCACGATTTAAATGGCTCCTTGATAGCTCTCTCTCTCTCTCTCTACTTTCACTTGGCTAATTCAGCTCTGCTTACTTAGCCAGATTAAGGTTGTAGTAAGGGTGACCCGACAAAGTTGCACTGAACCCAAGACAAAAGCCGGACAGGTGCGACACCTTTGATAATCGCACGACAGCGCAGCGACCGTGTGTGTTACCATAGTCCTGGTGAAAGGTGGTCTTGCTCCCCTCAGTGCCAGCAATCGGGGCTGGCTTCGCTTTTGAGGGATTGTAATAATCAGATCATTGAACGTTTTCAGCATCAACTAGCTTCATAAATAGTGAAATGCATCACGGCACAATCTAGCGCATGGGTTAGGCCCCAGCTGAAGGTTAGGCGACGTCAGAGGGCAGGGCGGACCGTGCCGAGCACTGCAGCACGATCAACTTTTGTCAGAAAATTCTGTCGTTGACTCGGAATTGCACGATCAGATAGTAAGCGTCAGGACTCAAACAACAAGCACAGCTCAGAGTGAGCTATGATCGCAGAAATTCATGCATTCAAAAGACTCGGATAGGCTAGCTAAAAAAGGCCCGGGAAGAGCTGTCGGCAGACAAAATGTCACGAACCGCGTGCTGTGACGCGTCATTTACTGGCCGAGTTCGGGGCACCCATCCCGCGTCCACGGACGCCGGAGCGGTGGCGGCACATCGGCGGAAGCCTCCGACGCGTGCTGACGCGTTATCACTCGGGGCTTACCATGGGAGCCACAGCGGCCCGGTCACCGCACGGGATGTCAGTGCGGTGTCAGCTGCCAGGGCCAGGAGGTGCCGGCACCGTGACGGCAGAGGCCACGTCGTGACGTCGTGACATCGCAGTGTGAGAACGGACGCCACGCCACGACATTGGAGCGAAACCAGAAGCCGGCACCGGTGCGGCCGCACCGCCGTCCACCCCGTCACTCACCCGGTGCCGGTGTCGTACCCGAAGCGGTAGCTGTGCGGCCCCTCCTGGCCGTGCACCTGAAACTCGAGCCGCTGCTTCTCCTGCTTCTTCGGGATGGTCAGGCCGTAGTCGTCCTGACGCGGACTGGCGATCGCCTGCGGCACAGACCGGCTGGTCAGCGTGCCTCGGGCGGGTCCGCGCGCGGTCACCGCCGGCCGTCGAGGTCAGCGGGCGCTGGACGGTCCACCCACGCACCGCATCACACGGTCACACGCGAGTCACGCGCTCAGACGACTCTCTTGCGGCCGAATCACCGACGATTTCCGGCGGCCTCATTCCTGGTCGGCCGCTGTTCGCCCGAGTTTCACGGTGCTTCGGACTCACGCCGTCGCGCGGAATCACTCGAGGGCGTCTTGTGACTGCGCGCTGTCCGTCAGCGATTGTCATGTCTCACGCGCTCACGGTCGGTCACACCCTGCCTATGGTCGGTCACGGTCAGGGAGCGTGCGGTCAGAGTAGGCTCCAGGCGCACGTCACGCACTGACCGCGTTCGCACGGCCGTCCCGACTCAAACATGCACGGCCTCCAGACTCAAACACTTTGACATGCACGGTCTGCAGACTCAAACACTCAAACATGCACGGCCTTCAGACTCACTCAGACATGCACGGTCTCCCCGGCTCAACAATGCACGGCCTCTAGACTCACACACTCTAACATACACGGTCTGCAGACTCAAACACTCAAACATGCACGTCCTCCAGGCTCACTTAGACATGCACGGTCTCCCCGACTCAAACATGCACGGTATCCCCGACTCAAACATGCACGGTCTCCAGACTCAAATATGCGCTGGCCTCCTCGAATCAAACATGTAAGGCCTCTCGGCGCGCACGCTCGGTTCACCGCTGCTCGTGGGACTCACAGCTCGAAATTATGTGCAAAGGTGCAACTAATATGGAGCTGGATAGAACCGAATATCTGAACTTTGGCGTTTGTCTCGAATGTGAAGGTTCGACCCCTAGTGCGTTTCAAGTTACGTCTGCACCATGCACCCTACAGTAGTCCAAATCGCCGGCACAGCGGTCCAAATCCACACAGCCAGTCGTCACTGCAGCCAGCTGGTATGTGGGAGAGACCCGTTATGTTTAGAGGGACAGGGTCTGGTCCTACCGTGGTCCCGCCGCTCCTTCCCTTCGATGCGTCACTACAAGACGCCATTCACGGGCTGAGATGCCACTCCATGGGGTCCATTATGTTGGGTTCCTTAGTGCTGGTCACCAGCCTGCATCTTCAACAAGCTTACTCTGTAAGGTAGTCAACTGTTTTCTGAACATTTGAGTAACAAGCAATATTTCGCAGCAGTAGAGGGTCAAAACCGCGCGTGGCTCCCTTTTTATAGCGTATCTTACCCGACTCTAGGCTAAAATATGAGTAAGTGCACGCGTTGCCCAAACTCCGCACCGTATCACCCGACACCTCGCTTCAGCACAGATCAGCTTGGAGGTCGGGGAGGTCAAGCAGGCCAGGGCTCAAAGGTCAGAGAGGTCAGACAGGTCAGAGCTCAAAGGTCAGAGGGGTCAGATAGGCCAGAGCTTAGAGGTCAGGGAGGTCAGACGGCCAGGGCTCAGAAGCCCAGATGCACATCCTGACCTGGTCACCAGGTCAGGTCAGGAACATTCCTCCTCCGCACCGACCTGGCGCTCGGCGAACGCAGCTCGGGGCGGGGACGCCTCAGACGCGGAGAAGGGCGCCACGTAGTCACGCGGGTCGGGCAGGCCCTGCCGGCGCGCCGGGGTCGTCAGGGCTGCCGCCGACAGCGCTGCGTCGGCGCTTGGCGGCGCCGGACGCAACGCGATGACGGGCCGCCGGCGCCGCTGCACCAGCGAGGCTGACGGGAGCCGGCTGCGACCGGCAGTCAAGCCGGCCGAGGGCCGGGCGCCGGCGGCGGGCGCGTCGAACAGCGCCTGCTCGCGAGGGCCGACCTCAGCGTACAGTGACGGCTGGGCTGGGGCCACCGAGTCGTACAAAGGCTGCTGGTCTTCCAGAGACGTCCGACGGCGGGCCGGGAGCTCTCTGTAGACCGACGGCTGATCGGGGGCTGATGGGTACAGCGACGCCTGCTCCCGAACTGGTGGCTGCAGCGGTGACTGCTCCCGGGCTGGCGGGTGTACTGATGGGTGCTCGCGGGCTGGTGAGTCCCTGTACAGCGGGTACTCCCGCCGAGCTGGGAGGTCATCGTACAGGGTTGGCCGCTCCCTGGCGGCAGGACCGCTGTGAGCCGTCCTTCGCAATGCCGGCAGGTCCCCGTACGCCAGAGGCGGCTCTGGCGGCGGCGCGGTTCGCTGAGGAGGCTCCCGGTCCGCCCGGAGTGCCGGCAGGTTCTTGTACACCAGCGGGGGCCGGGCGCTCCGCTCGGAGGGCTCCCGGTACGCCCGGAGCGCAGGCAGGTCCTCGTACACCTGCGGGGGCCGGGCGCTCCGCTCGGAGGGCTCCTGGTCCTCCCGGAGTGGCGCACCACGCGCGGACGGTGACGGGTCGGCCGACGGCTCGTCGAACAGCGAGTCGAAGCCGACACCCTTCGATTCCAGGTACTCCTCGAAGCTTTGGTGCAGGTCACCAGTGAATGGGGAGTCGACCTGGTGGAGGGATCACGTGATTTGCTGGTTACCGAGTGGAATATTTCATGCGTTGGGGTCAAAGGTCGGAACGGGTCGATCACCGGGGTGAAAAACTTCCGATTTATCGAATATGATCGGTGACAAAAACGGACACTTTGCGAGCCAATTGGTGACGAAATTAAGAAAATGAAAAAAATTACAACAGACCGGACCATACTGCAACAGTCCATCCCAGCCAGACGGAACACAAAGCTTACTATTCGTCTGTATTCGCTAGCGCTTGCAGCGTAAGCTGTGTAGAGCACATGTAGAAACGTTGGCGTTCCACTGTATGATGCCAAACATGGAAGCTTTAAACGGGATAGTGTTAGCAGGTGACAGAATTATACTAAAAACTACACTATATCATTACTGACGTCACAGATGAGTGGCAGCACCGTGCTTTCCAATCTCAGACCGGTGCTCTTCATGGATTTTTTCGTAAAGGAAAGTGCTGAGTACTCGGAAGTAGTGGTTTTGTTTCCTTTCAATTTGGCATTGTTACCCTATACTGCTACTTTTTAGCAAGGACATTGTCCGTGAGAAATGCTCAATATTCAAGACCTTGACATAATAATTTCAGCTCACTGTCGTTTTCGTAAGAAATGAATCGTTTATATCCCCAAAAAGTCGGTCAAAATGTTGCTCCGGTGAGCCTGCTGGTGCGGTGTAAGTGTAAATAGTTGGTAAGGGTTGAAAGTTGTTACGGTCATTTACGACCATATATGAATACACCTGGAGCCAGGAGGTACCACTTAGCGACTTTATGATGCTAATTAACAATGATATTTAAGGTACTCAGTATTTCCAGCTGTGCTCAACCTCAGAAGTGACAGAGTTCAGAAAGGTTCAGCAGAACATTATCTTTGAAAACTAAGACCGGTGAATCCGGAAAATGTTTTTAATCTGCGCAGATCCTGCCAGATCCTCAAATTTGTCAAAAAGAAGGAGGAGCTGGCGTCTTTCTGGGCAGGTGCTCCCTGGCGAGACAGGGCCCCTGGTGAATGCCCCTGTGAGTGCTCTCTGTGAGTGCACTCACATATCTGAGCGGGTGCTCGGTGTGAGACGTTGGGCGACTGACTCACCCTTCGTTGGATGCGTCTGGGGACGGCTGCAGCCCTTCTGGCGGCCAAGCTGCCGCCGACGCTGGCGGCCATCACCTGAGGCCGCGTCAGATCAGCCGTTAAACAGCCGCCTGGGCCGGACACACGTCCAGCGACTTCAACGCCGACGCGGTCACGCCGAAACAACTGCAGTCGCGCACGGCAAGGTAACACCAAAAGCCAACCGCTGGCGGCCGGCGGCCCAAATGCGGCCGCGGAGGGCACCGGGGAACGCCAGACAGGTCAGAGAGGGGACCGGGGAGCACCAGACAGGTCAGCTACACCACGTACGATTAAACGGCATTTTAGCTAAAAAATCAGCGGTGTGCGATACTCCACCTGGGATTGCACTCCAGCACTCGCTGGCAGTGTCGGCTACGGCCAGATGTCTCGCCCCGGGGCCAATAGAGTGGGGCCCACAGAGCGGGGCCCACAGAGCAGGGCCCACAGAGCGGGGCCCACAGAGAGGAGCCCACAGAGCGGAGCCCACGGAGCGGGGCCCACATAGCAGGGCCCACAGAGCGGGGCCCACAGAGCGGAGCCCATGGAGCGGGCCACAGAGCGAGCCCACCGAGCGGGGCCCACAGAGTGGGGCCCACAGAGCGGAGCCCATGGAGCGGGCCACAGAGCGGGCCCATCGAACGGGGCCCACAAAGTGGGGGCCACGGAACGGGCCGCAGAGCGGGCCCACAGAGCGGGGCCCGTGGGCCACTTACGGCGCACAGCAGCAGAGCCCTCATGGTTTCACCGGCGCGGAGCGGCCACTGTTGGCCGCAGACGGCGACGGCGTCGCTTTATAGACGCGCCGTCAGCGACGCGGTGGTCGGCGCCGAGAAAGAGCGAACGTGATAAGTGGCGGGCGGCTCGCGAGGGCGTGCCGCTGGCAGTCTTGCATGCACGCGCGCAACGATATTCATCAGACGCGGGGCTCCTGAATCGCCGGTTAAACGAGGGTTTGCCTGCTGCCTGTCATGCAGTAACTGTAAGCGCAGTATGCTTCAACGCGAAAAGCCGGAGCGTTTGGTTTTCTGGAAAATTAGACTTCCTTCTTCACACAGAGTTTGCTGATGCGGGCAATAAAAGCAGACACAATTGAGAGCGATCTCATCATACGCCTTTGCTGGCAATCAAAAAGCGCTCCGCAAGGATATGCATATGCCTGGTTAATCCCATCAAATCTGAACAATGCATGCATGACAGCAGATGACATGTAGTCCTCTAACGTGCATGCTATGTTCATGTTTGTGGCATGTCCGAGTTTGCAATGCCTAAGGGATCTCCAAGTTTGCCATGGGATGTCCAAGTTTGTAATATTCGAGTGATATCCAATTTTGCAATGCCCGTGGGATGCCCGTTTGTGACGTTCGTGGGATGCCCAAGTTTGTAAAGTTCGTGGGATGCCTAAGCCTGCAATGTTCGTGGATGTTAAAGTTGGTTATGTTCGTGGGATGTCTAAGTTTGCAATGTTCGTGGATGTCCAAAGTTTGCAATGTTCGTGGGAGCTTCTCGTTATTTATCACTGATCATCTTGACTACGTTCTGACTTGTTTCTTTCGCCATGTTTTCCTTTATTAGGGACTTACAAGTATAAACGTATCTGGTGAGATGCACGTTATACCTACACTCGGATGACGATGAAAAAATTGCAAAATTGCGATGATTACGGGGAATTTGGGCCACAAACGCTAAACAACTGGAAGGTGTTTTAGCAGCCCATCAGCATATCAACTTTGAGGAATTGTTATGTGCAGAAGATTTTCGAGCTGTTAAGTCTTATCAGATCAAGATTTGACAGTCTTTTGCAGCTCTGGATGTTGAGCTTTGTAAGCATTCCAAAGAACCCGAGCTCAAGAGTACGAGTTTTTCGGCGTCACCTTCACTGCAGGAATGATATCGCCGTCGAGGCTATCAAGTGCACACAACGAAAGCGTCTCCCGGGCTTTGGTCACGATATATGGCAGCAGTTTAGACCGTGAGCAGCGCTCTGATATGATCTGGCTCATCGGACCGTGACGACGGCGGGCTCACCCGTCGCCTCTCTCTCGGCCCGGAGGGCAGCTGGATGATGTTCTCCGCACGGCCTGCTCGCGGGTGCCAGCTCCCCCGCCACCTTGCACGCTCTGGCGCCCCGGCTCCGCGCCAGCGGGGCTTCCTGCGTCCGGACGTGCCAGACTTCCATGCGAGAACGGGTAGAGGAAAGGGTGTAACACACGATAACATGTGTGACCCCTGGGCAGGATGAGCTTACTCCGCTACACTCCGTCACCCTGTTACACATTCAGCGAAGAAATAAACCTAATCTTAGTCAAATAAAACGCACGTAGGTATGTTCTGTGGTTTTGGTGTGATGTTTTTCACATGCAGGACATCTCAGGATCCCCTGCAGTATCCTGGCTAAAGCTATGTAGGATACCACACACATTCTTACAGTATTCCTAGACAAACTATCCAGAACACCTCAGAAATCCTGCTTGGGTTTTCAGAATATAGCCTATAATTCACAAGATATTCCAGCAACATTTCTTAGGATATGCTACAGGATATCTCTGAGAATTAATAGTTAAAAATGCGCGGCTTTCAAAATATCCTGCATAACATCTTGCGCATCCCTCCCCCTCCCCCCCCCCCCTCAACCTGCAGGATTCCTCATAGAGACCCACCGGACCTCTCACAAAGCTCTGCATGATCCCTTACAAATCTTTCAGGATCCCTCGGACAGTCAGTCAGAATATCTCACAAAACCCTGCAGGTTTCTTCACGGGATCCTGCAAGATCCATAACAAACCCCTACTCCATTCTTAGTTTGCAAGGAATGTCAAAACATCCCACACAGTCACTCACAAAATCCTGCAGCATCGTTCATCGAATTTCTTACAGGAATTACACAGTGTACCTTACTATGTTAAGCAAAACTGAAAGTCAAGTACTGTGAAAAATTCTATCGTAGGATGCCATGGAAACCACCAATGTAATCCAAGAATTTCTTCTTGACTGCCGAAAACTATTTCTTAAAGTTCGTAACAAATTATAAAATACCGCTGCATGCGCAATTTCGTAAAATATGCGCAGTTCAGAAGC